GAAGATCGAATCGTTGGTTCGATTTGGTTTGATATCACATTTGCAAGATGATGATCTACAATGGGAATGGATGAGATCGGATTTTGATTTTTCAAAGATCCGAAATAGTTGTAAACAACAATGGATGTTTTGTTGAAATAAAATTCGAGCAATTTAATTAAGAGCTCGTTTTGTAGAATTAAATCATTGGATTTGGCTGAATTTTGAACGACATGTTTATGACACACAATCTTAAATTATGAACGATTAATTAGAATTTGTATATTCTAACATTAATATTGAATAGTGGAGATCAACCACCATTTGGAGAGATTAATATTCTCTTGTTTATTGACAAGATTTAAGTATCTTGACGAGTTTTCTCTTTTTGAGGAAAAAAAAAAGAAATCTTCTTATCTAATTTGTTGACAAGATTTAAGTATCTCGAGAAGTTTCCTCTTTGTGTGCTTTCTTGAGAGAAAGAGATACAATTATTTGTAATTAAATCATATTGGTGATCCAATATATTTCTCTAACTAAAGAAGAAATGTATTTTGTTACATTGTGTATCCTTATTAATAAAATAAAATTAAGGATTTCAAAGCATTTAAATGCTATGTGAATGAAAGTTGGAAAATGCCAACTTTGACAAATGAATTAAAAAATGAGTACTGTAACTTTTGAAAAACGTTTATGGATATCATATTGATAAATTCTAGAATACATACTCTAGGATTTGTGGGAGAAATTAGATATCCCGGGCTAACCACATTAATATTTAGAAATGTGGAGGTCTTTAGGCCCTAACCACATAAATTAGATATCCCGAGCTAACCACATTAATATTTAGAAATGTGGGGGGTGTTTAGGCCAAGGTAAAAAAGTACCTATGTTAATATAAGGCCTCATATAGTCAAGTGGATAAATATTGAATATGTAAACAATGATTGTCCACGAGATAGTCACTCTTGATGCAAATTGATTATATTGTGTTTTCTTGTAAAATAAGAGAATAAATAAGTTCTAAATAAGAGAACTTATAAATGTGTAAGTGGTAAATCATCAAAGTGATGAACAACCAAGTTAAAATATGTGTGAGTAGTAAATCATCAAGTGATGAACAACCAAGATGGCAAAGAAAATCATATGTTTGATTTTGATTTGATTTTATAACTTATGAGTTGTAAAATGAACGAAGGACAATAATTGAAATATTGTCTACATTGGAAGAATGTACGTGGAAGTTAGTTTGTCCTCTTCCAAGTAGTAAACCATTAAGGTTTAAATAGACTATTCAAAATAAGGATTAATGGTGGTCCTATAAAGCTAAATTAGTAGTTATGGAATTTTTTGATTTTTTATAACATTGTATTGGAGTCCGCTAAGTCATTTTAAAGTAATATTTGATAAAATCGTGTTATCAAATAATTCTCGTAATAACGAGTGTGACCAGTGTGTTTATATTAAAAGAACATGGAAGTATATGTCTATAGACGACATTATAATCATGAGATAGTGATCATGATATTATTTTGAACGTTGAGAAAATATTGGAAAAAATAAAAATTAAGTGTTTGATGTGAAAGACGAGGGTCTAGACGATGTAATCTTAAATATTAAATTCACTAAGACAAAGATAGTCTTATTGAAAGCCTCATGTTGAGACACTACTTGAAAATTGATCTAGTTGTCTAAAAAACCAAGTCTTTACTTTACAAAAAATAATGATGAACAATGGTTCAATTACAAATAATTTTTGATAATTTGGCAATATAGTTTTTATATGTAATCCCAAAATAAATAATCATTCAATCATATTATAAGGGTTCTTAATAAGTATCGCATTTAAATGGATTATATTAAAGAAAATATCCAATTGTATTAGGAAAGTACATTGGATATTTAAGTCAACTAAGATTATGTATCTTGCAAATCCTCAAAGAAAAATGAATATCTCGATTTGTGGTTGAATTCCAATATATAGATTTAGATAAAGTTAGAAAAGAAGTTGAATAAACTTCATAAAACTATTGGAGGATGTTCCGTGTTGGACTAAGTCGGTGCCTGCAATTATGAATAAATTGCGATAGTCAATCGATTACGATAAGGGTACAAACGACATGTCACACACATAAAACCATTAGGCAATTGATCTCAAAATAAATAATTAACATTGATTATGGAAATCAATGGTTAATAGCGGATCCGCGACTAAAAGTCAACTAAAGAGATCAAACATATTGCATGTCTAGGGGAGTACGATTAAAACCCACAAATTAAGAACTTCTATAGTGGTAACCCAACCATGATGACTGGAGATCCCAAGAATTGGTTCAAAAGGGACAACTAAGCTATTGAAATTACTATGGTGTATATATTCCTGTGGAATTATATATTTCCAACTCATTCCCGTGATAGACATTAGTGCTGCCTGCAGAGAGGGTAAAGGATAAGCGGAAGCTTTTAATGATTCCATAACATTGACAAAATGTGAGGTATTGGCAGGATACCTTTAATAGGACATCACCTATCTAAGTGTAGAAGTGTGGGCCGCTTCAAAATGACAAACACTTATGAATCCAAGATGTGCTCCAGGGCCAAGATGGACGCAACCATGAGAACTGATGAAATGTGAGAAAACTATTGTGTGGATATCATTGTCTTGGTTTACACAAACGGCTGGCAGATCAAGACATCGCGTTCACTAACTAACCAAGTAAATCCGATGTTATACCGCTAAGGAAGGTTCAAAGCCAAAAGCTACCTATCCCCATTGCAATAGCACTTGAACTCTCAATAGAATCCATCGTTTTTCGTTAATTTTATTCATGTGGGGGATTGTTGGAAATTTTATTTATTAAAATAACATTATTTTTTGAATGAAAATAAAAAAAGGGTTTTAGGCATCTTTTTGATCAAATAGGTGTGACAATATGAAGAGGTGTGGCCACACGTTTTCATTTGTTTAATTTCCTAAGGGTTGTGTTCATTACTTACAACCATTCGAAACCTATAAATAAAAAGCTCCACATGTTTGATTACAACAACATAAAAATCAATTCAATTTCATAATTTTGTTCTATGAAATTCTTCTTTCTTTAGCCCGGAAATATTCTTCGTAGAATATTTTCTTCCGTATTCGATTCGAGAGTTTCAGACACAAAGTAATGTTCGTTGTACTCGGAATTTTGAATGCTCATATACCGAGTTAGCCGTTGTACCTTGGGAGACCATTGTCAAATAACCGTAAGCACCGTAGCGGGGCAATATCGTCTTAAGGAAAGAGTTTTCTCGCCTCGGCTAATCTTTTCGTACTTTCACTAATTAATTTGTTCGACCATTTTACTAAATTCACTACCCGTTTTATATACCGGGAACAACAATTAGTTGGAGTGGTGGCCTGGGGTTGGGGGACGCGTGTATTGGAGTCGAAGGTCAGGGAGATGTGGATGAGTTGTGTCTGTGTAGGAGTGTGGGAGGATTAATGGGTGCCATTTTTTTTTTTTCTTTTTTCTATTTTTGCAGAGGTTGATTTTCTTTTTATTTATTTTAGAAGATGTGACGGAGGAGAGTGGTGGAGAGGTGGAAGGCAACGGGAGGTGATGGAGGAAATGGCAAATTTTAAGTTTGAAAGAAAATTATGCATTAAATATTTGGGGAAGAGAAGATGTAAGTATGAAGTGGAAGGAGTTTAGATCCAACTTGTTTTTAGGGTGACAAGTGGACGTCATGTGAAGCGCACATACAGTTCCATCAAACTTAAGAGGAAACATTGACGGCAAACCAAAATTGTCAAAAAGTGATAAGATTGATGACTAATTTCGTGAACTTACTAGTTTGAGGAGTAAAATCGTTTTAGTGGCAAGTACAGGGACCAAAAATGTAATTACCCCGATATTTGCTAATAAAAGTAAAATAATTATTTTTGACAATTAGAAGGTCGCTAATGCAAAAAAAAATCCCTATATATAGCACGGACACAAAAACAGCGATACGAGAAAACAGGAAAACGGATTGGGAAAAACGGCATGTCCAAAAAGGAGGATGCTGGAGCGTGGGGAAAACGTGTAAATATAAAAAATAAAGAAGAATATTTATAAATATACTATATAATCATAATATAACTTTTTATTTATATATAAATTTTTTTTTTTCATACAAACATATTCGGAATAAATTTTACTATCAACTACCAGTTTGTAATTGATCATCAAATCATGTAAATAATTAGGGAAGCAACAAAAATATTTAAAAATTTGTTAATCAGCATGTTTCTGACATTTTAAAAATTGCAAAACGACCCATAAGGTATCCGGCTCTTGTCCGAAACGCGAAAATGTTAAATAGTTAAAGTTTCCGTGCTACGTAATAATTCATCAATAAACACACAAACACTGAGGTTTGCCCTTAATCATATCTCAAGAACTTATATTTCTATTTTCCTATCTTTTGATGTTCCAAATAATCATCTCATTTATTAACCATATGAAATCACTATTCTCAACCACCGGTTTTAAGAAAGCAACGGTACAAAATTCCACAGAACAAATATATTAAAAGAAGAAGAAAAATTCAACTTTTTCACAATTTTATTTAATATCCCAGGATCAAATTTAGGTATCCGGTAGAATCTCGATAAATTAATAATATCCCCTAAATAATATTTTTTTCCGGTCCCAACTCGATAAAAATGTGCTAAACTATTAGTTGGATGATTTAGTATTTTGCTAAATTAATAGAATTTTATTAATCTCAACTAAATTAATTTATAGACGTTTAACTGTGTTTATTTTCTCATCCGGAGTTAATATTTATTGTCCCGGTTTGCATTAGTGGCACCGAAACTGTGTGCATTAAATATATTTCACCCACTCGTTTTAAAGCAATGGAGATAAGCAGCCTATTTATATGCGTAACTCACAACTCACTGACAACATATATAGTTATATATATATATACACACACAGACACACACATAGAAATCATCAGTTAGAAGTTCTTCATATATATAAATATATACACACACACATATATATATATTATATATATATATATAAGTGCAATGGAAGAAGAAATAACAGAACCAGTTAGCCCAACTGGCCAATACTTCACGAGCTCTGTTATTTCAGTATCTGTAATTGCAGTTCTTGAATTCGAATTCCCGATCGACGATTCACAAACCGCCACGTTGCTCGAGAATGTATTTCTCCCAATCAACCCTCGTTTCTCTTCTCTCATGGTTAGTATATATACATTTCTCTAACTATATTATTATTATTATTTATTATTATAATTAAATGTGTTTATTGCACTCGGCTCCCCTGTGGCATGTGGAATTTCTGAAAAAAATACTCGTGTTATTTTATTTGCAAAAACACCCTGTGATCCAAATGTTTTTAGCACACAACCCCTAAACAAAGGGTACTACTTGCTAAAATAAAATATTAAATCATAGGAGTTTTTTGCCAATTAAATAACATGATGTGGTTTTTTTAGCAATTCGATATAACACAGGGTAATAGTTGCAATAACTCTCTTTTAAATTTGTTTGATTGTTATTTATTTATAAGTGTGATTAATTTTAGGGTAAATTATGAGAAAACCCCTTGAACTTAGGCTAGATAACGAAAAACACCCCCATCAATCTGTAATAATCAAAGTCCCCCTCTAATTAATTGTTGATCGAATTTTTTAACAAAAAATGTGTACGGTCTATTATACATTGTGTTAAATAGGTGAGAAATAAAAGAAAATATCTGAAATTGTGTAAAATATCTTCCATGGAATAAAAAAATCCGTGAAAAGTCGCATTGTAAGGGGTTGGTGTAAGACGAAAACAAACATCAGAGAATTTTTGGTAATTACGAATAGGTGAGGGTATTTTTCGTTATTTAGCTTAAGTTTAGGGGGTTTTCGTAATCTACCCTTAATTTTATAAAATAGTGGGTGCATGACAAATTAAACAAAAAATAAATAATTAATTAATCAATTAATCACAGGTGAAGGGCAAAAATGGAAAAAAGCATTGGAAAAAGGTTGAAGTGAATGTCAAAGAACATGTCAAAACCCCAAATTTCCCACGTGGGAAATCACCCGAATTCTACGAGGAATGCCTGTCTGAATATTTGTCAAAAATATCCCTAGAACAATTCCAAGAGAGCAGGCCATTATGGGAAATTCACATAATAAAATACCCCACAAAAAGTACAGCTGGCAATCTTGTTTTCAAGCTTCACCACTCACTTGGAGATGGCTACTCATTAATGGGAGCTCTTCTTTCTTGCTTACAAAGGGCAGATAATCCTCAACTCCCATTGACTTTCCCTTTATTGAATCAAAAAATACAAACTAATGATAATAAAAGTAATATTTTATCAAGGGCTTTTGATAGTGTGTACGATTTCGGGTGGAGTGTTTTGAAGAGCCTTGTGCTTGAAGATGATAAGACTCCGATACGATCGGGCGATGACGGAGTCGAGTTCCGGCCAATCACGGTCACCACCTTGAACTTCTCGCTTGACCAAATCAAAAAAGTCAAGGCTAGTCTTCACGTGGTATGTATGTTTCAGTTCGTTTCGTTTCGTTTTGTGTTTCTCTTGTATACTACTCCCTATGTTCTTGATCCAAATTGACTGAATTAGGATATATTCCCACTGCAAAAAATATTGTTACTAATAGAATGTCATAAATTCTATATAGTCATAATAAATAAGGATTAATTCATAACAGAAAGAGCTATTAGTGAGAACAAAAAGATATCATCACTTAATATATGCATTTAATGACAACTATTGCATTTTTCACAATTGTGATGCCACTAATGCGACTTTTTCTTTTGCTGATCTCCAGGGCCGGTCCGGCGTATTCGGGGGCCCTGGGCGAGAATAAAATTTGTATGACTAATAATACGGGAGTTCAAGAGCAACGCCCCGATTTTTTTTTTTTTTAAAACACTTGTTAGAGAAATATGTAATAAATTTTTGTTTGACTAAATAAAATATTAAAATTTTATGTCTACTTTAATACTAAATTTAAAAATAATAACAGAAGATCTTTTTTTAAATAAAAGAATATGTTTTTTTTAATAATAAAACAATAAATTTTTATATAAAAAAAATATATAATATATAAAAAAATGAAAAATTGGGCCCCTCTAGCCAATTGGGCCCTGGGCGTGGGCCCTGCTCGCCCCACCCCAGGGCCGGCCCTGCTGATCTCGTTCCATATTTTCTCTCACTTTAGAATTTAAATAATATATCAATTACCATGTTCACATTTGTGCCCTTATTACTATTAATTAGTTGGGTGAAAATTTATAGAAATAAAATTAATAACATGGGTACTTTTGTTATTCTATAAGTTTTATTCCCCTAAAATTCACACGTATTTATTAATTTTCATATTATGTACATAACAACGACACCTGTTTTGAAATGGAGAAAATAATTATCTGCAGTATAGATGATATATATATATATATATATATATATATATATATATATATATATATATATATATATATATATATATATATATATATATATATATATATATATGTCTTTGACAGTTTGAGTATGCAGAACATTTATGCAGGTGGGTACGTGAAGAGTTTAATTTCATAAATAGGGTGGTTCATACTTTTGGCTACTTTGAATTAAATTTCTTCACAAGTAGGTCTTATTTTAGGGACTCTTAACTAACACCTGGTTTCAAAGCAGAAATAATAATAATAATAATAATAATAATAATAATTATTATTATTATTTATTTTATTTTTAATTTTTTTTATAATTAATAAGAAAGAGAAATGAATTAAAAAAGAGTATTTAAAAAAATTGGTATAAATTGGAAATTAAATAATTAATGCAGTATTGGAAATCTAAAGTGACTATTAATATATAACAAAATACTATAAAAAGTAGAAATAAAAAATCATTTCAAACTTAATTCACAATTATTAACTTTTAGTTCGAAACATTTATAAGCACCTCCTTAATATTATAATAACTCTTTTTGTTTTTTTTACTTAAAATGAATTTAGAGCATAAACGATGTGATATGTGGAGTATTGTTCTTGGGGATCGGACTGTACGCGAAGTCAACGAAAGTTGACCAGTCGTCAACGGCATTGGTTCTACTCAACACAAGAAACATCAACGGCTACAAATCAATCTCGGAAATGGTCGAACCGGATGCCGAGTCACCATGGGGCAATCAATTTGCTTTTCTTCACGTTTCGGTCCCTAAATTAGTTTTTTCAGACCAAATTGATCCTCTCAGCTTTGTTCTCGATGCTCAGAAAGAGATTACGAGGAAAAGAAATTCTGCAGCTGTTGTTTTAACCGGAAAATTGCTCGAAATGTTGATGAAACTGAGAGGCCCTGAGGTATGTATTTTTTTTTATTTTTTTATTATTTAAAAAAATACTTAATTTGTTTAATTAAGAATAGAAATTTGCGTCGAATCTCCTTGTGTTCATATCATTGCATACAACTTTATTATTTATATTATTTTATTGCGCGAAAAAAATTCTCATGAAATCAGTTATGCATTTGTTAAAGCTTACGAACTTGCTTTTAGAAAAATAACTACGAGTTGTAAATGAATAAATTAGTTTTCTATAATCCCGTTCGATCTTCGCCGATTTTGATTTGAAATCTTTCGATTTTTGAACAATTGTAGATTCCGATTCTTCATCCAGTTCTTAATTTTCAAAAAAAAATCCGATATTTGGAATATCTCAATTTTGAAAACACTTTTTCATTCGAGTGTCCAAAAGCCCAAATTTTCCGAATTTTTTTTAAGGGAATTGAAATTAATTTTTCACTTCCACAAGTGTTAATTCCGATTTGATCCATCTGATTACCACCCCTATGCATGATCAAACCGGTCCTTCAGACTAATATTATATGCCCTAAAATATATTTTTAGGACTTATATATACTCATGAGTTAGAATTAACTAATAATTTATTTATTTATTGTTATAATTATAATTTATTTTGTGTCAGGTAACAGCTAAATACATACATAGAACACTGAAGAACACGAGCATGACAATATCAAATATAATGGGGCCTCTTGAAAAAATGGCTTTGTCAAATCAACCAATCAAAGGCATGTATTTCATGGTCGTTGGAGTTCCTCAGGTACTACCATAATTTATATACCAAAATTATTTATTTTATTTTTTTAGATTTCAAAATATTTTTATTTTTATTTTTTAATAAAATAACAACTCTGGAAAAAAAAATGCTTTAGTTTGTTATATAAAAACTAATTTTCAAGTCAATTTATACCGGTGGATTTCAATCGTAAATCTACACATAATCTCTCCCGCGCACACACACACACACATGTGTATTATGTGCGCTTAATGAATGATTATTTAATCAGATCTACGTTTGAAATCTACCATGTGTAATAATCAGATCTAGCATTTAACTTCCCATTAATAACCCATTATTTACTCTTACTGCAAAAAAAAAAAAAAAAAAAAGAAAACAATCATGCTCATTAGGAAGATAAAATATTTGAAAGCATGAGGGGTTTATGTGCTTATATTAAAAATACAAAGGGGTCATTGCGTTATATTGAAAGTACAAGGGGCTCATGTGCACAAAGTTCAAACTATAAGGGAGAAAAGTACTATTTTGTAAACTAGATAAATTTCAAAGGTAATTTTTATAGTTTTATCTTAATTCTTACATTTTGTTATTCGTTTCATCATTTTTTTGTGCACACAATATTATATATATATATAATTTATTTATTTTTGTTTTTTGCAGAATCTAACAATAACAATGGTGAGTTACATGGGACAGTTGAGAGTGGCTTTGGGAACTGAAAATGGGTTAATTGAAGCACCCAAATTCAGAGAGTGTGTTCAAAATGCATTTGATATGATTTACAAAGCAGCAGTTCCTTTTCCTTCTGTTTAAAATAAAATAAAATACTATTGAAGAAATGCAATTTAATTTTCATTTTTTATTTTTATAATCTGCATGTGTAATTTGTTTAATTCATGGATCAATATTTGAGTGTACTCTGTTTTTTTCCCAATTTTTTTTTTTTTTTTTTTTTTTATTTTATAATTTAAACTAGCCTAGTAATTATTTTACAAAACAGAGTTGTTGTATAAATGTATTTTTTGTTCAGTCAAATTAAACTCTCCACGTGTCACTACATAATTGGCATCCCGATCTTGTCGAAATAATGGGCAGTCCGTTTAGAATTTAAACTCAATTATTATACATAATACGTCAGTTTAACGAAGATTTTTTGTTCGAATTATCATGTATATGTGCGTTGATTGGTTGATTTGGTGGTTTATAAATGAAAAAAAACGAGGTTTGGAAGTTTTCAAGAGCGAAAGTCAAAACGAAGGAAACCAAGGGAGAAAATTGAAGAAGATGAAAAACAACCCCTCAGCCGTTGTGGGACCGCGGTCCGAGAATTAGTTATTTTCATGGGACCGCGATCAGACGACGTAATTGCCGGGGAGAAAAATTACTAATCAACTCAAATTAGGTTTCTTCAACATCAAGCCACCCCTATAACATCACTAAGCACGGAAAAAATGTACTAGAAAGAGACGACGGCGTACGAACAAGGGGGAGACGTGACGACTTTCCGCCATAGTTTTTACTTAGGGCAAATTGCATATCACACCCTGTAAATTTCTAATTTTCGCACTTTACCCCCTCAAAATTTTTAAAAGTGAATGTCCCCCTTCATAATATTATTCTTGTTGCACATTGCCCCGATAGCAAAATTTCGATGTATTATTCATCAGAATTGAGGATTTTGGTTGCAGGTTGCCCCTTTAAATGTTATTTTTATTGCACATTGCCCCTTAATTAACATTACTTTTTAGTTTTTTGCACATTTCCCCTTTAAAATGTTATTTTTGTTGCACAATAGCCTCCAATATTTGGCTTATATATATGGGGCAAAGTGCAATCAATATAATATTTTGAAGGGGGAATATCCTTTTTTTTTTTTTTTTTTTTAGGAGGTAGTACGAAAACATAAATTTATAGGGGGCAAAGTGCATTTTGTACTTTTACTTATTTTCTATTTCCTTTGAGCAATGTTTCTTAATATTTTTAGGGAAAATTGCACAACATCCCTATAAATTTCTTATTTTTGCACTTTACCCCCTCCAAATTTAAAACAATGAATGTCCCCCTTCAAAATGTTATTATTGCTGCATATTGCCCCGATAGCAAAATTCTAATGGATTGCTCACCGGAATTGAGTATTTTTGTTGCACGTTTCCCCTTTAAATGTTATTTTTATTACACATTGGCCTTAAAATTATTATCTTGAAGGGGGTTATCCCTTTTTTGAATTTTTATGAGTGAAAGTGTGATAATGGAAAATTCATAGGGAGCAAAGTGTATTTTGTCCTTACTTTTATGATGTTTTTTTTTGTAGAGAAACATACGTAGCTTTTATAATTCTAAACAAAATTATTTATACAGAGCCCAAATTTTATAGAAAATATAATATTATAATCTTGAAACTTCAAAGCTGGTCGATCGCGAGGCATTTAATATCAGCAATGATATTACCATAGCTCGAAAAAGAGCCCGGCCCCCATCATCTTCCACAGTTTTAACAAGGACATTATTCGAGTCGCTCGATCTCTAAGAAAACTTTTATGAATTGACGATCCTTAGCAAATTCCAAAGCCTTTAAATAGCCTCCGCCGCGAATTAGTACAATCTAGATATATTGGTTGCAACATAATGCAAACCAACCCACACAACATCCGTCTGAAGATCGGGCTAACCCCCCCTAAGCCGCAACGACTCTCGACCGAGTTAATGGATGCATTGAAATGTATTTTGATAACATCTCCATAATGAGTTTGTTTGCAAGTTAGACTCTGTCATATCTAAGCCGACCATTTCACATAATGGTATATTTTATCTTGAAGATTTTACTTTTAATAATAATTATAATGATATAAAATTAAAAACAATAGTTAATTAAAAAGAGTGAATTGCATTTACTACCTACCTCTGTGTAAATCGTATCTGCGCGATTCCCCCTGTCTTAATTTTTTTAGCGAAAACTCCCTTTGTACTAATTAGTCAAAGGCGAAAACCCCCCTCGGAGCATATTGTGTGTCGCACTCGCGGATTGTGCGATTTTTTTCTCTTCATTTTTGCATGTGAAATGACATTATTACCCCTTTAAGTTAATGGGGATTTTTGCTAATTTTATTATTGATAGAATGAATCGGGCAGAGGCGATTTAAGGGTAGTTAATGTAATTCAATCTAACTAAAAATGTTCCAAACTTTAATTTAAAATCCTGTATGTACTAAATAAAACAATTTCTCCAATCCATGTGTTTTCAGCTTTTCTTTTTACCCGATGAGTAGGAGTAATTAATTTTATCTGCCCTCTTACGTGAATACAATTAGCTGTATCTATTTAATGAATCTCAACAAACTCTTTCTACACCACCAAATATATTATTTCTAAACAAACTTAATTAACACACTATATATATATACATATATATATATATGGATGTCTCTCATTCATCAAGAACACACACACACACACACACACACACACACACACACACACACACACACACACACACAAATAAGCCATTGCATTTTATTGTGTATATAATATATGCAATGGAAAATGGAATTTTAGAACCAGTTAGTCCAACTGGACAATACTTCACCAGCTCTGCTATTTCAGTATCTGTAATTGTTGTTCTTGAATTAGAATTCCCAATCGACCAATCCCGATTCGACACGTTGCTCGAAACCGTCTTTCTTCCAATCAACCCTCGTTTCTCCTCTCTCATGGTAATTTCTACATTTTCTTCATTACTGTGTGTTAATTTTATATATATATATATATTTTTAATTTTTTTTTTGGACAACCATGTTATTATGTTCACATGTTGTATGTTTTTTTGACAACCCTGTTATATATAGTATCACATGGATCGTACTGTAGCAGTTATTACGCACTGGTATATATAAATATCTGTTTATAAATTTAAAATTTTACAAATGTGATTAATTTTATGAAATAGTGGGTTAAAAAATTAATTAACTAATTAGTTAATCACAGGTGAAGGACAAAAATGGAAAAAAGCACTGGAAGAAGGTGGAAGTGGATATCCAAGAACATATCAAAACCCCAAATTTCCCACGTGGGAAATCATCCGAATTCTACGAGGATTGCCTGTCAGAATATTTGTCCAAAATATCCCTAGAACAACTCCCCGAGAGCAGGGCATTATGGGAATTTCACATAATAAATTACCCAACAAGAAATGCAGCTCAAAATCTTGTTTTCAAGCTTCACCATTCACTTGGAGATGGCTACTCACTAATGAGAGCTCTTCTTTCTTGCTTGCAAAGGGCAGATAATCCTCAACTCCCACTAACTTTCCCTTCATTGAATAATAAAAAACCGAAAACTCGTAAAATTAATATTTGCGAAAATAATATTTTATCAAGGGCTTTTGATAGTGTGTACGATTTCGGGTGGAGTGTTTTGAAGAGCATTGTGCTTGAAGATGACAAGACTCCGATAAGATCGGGCGACGACGACGGAGTTGAATTCCGGCCAATCTCTATCACCACCATGGTCTTTTCGGTTGACCAGATCAAGAAAGTCAAGGCCAGTCTTCATGTGGTATGTATGTATATATATTTTATTTTATTTTGTTTTGTGTTTAATTTTATTTTATACTATATTCCCATGCACCATTCCATTTTTTTTGTTATATATTATCATTAGAGTTTCAATAATTCATTAAATGCATTTTTTTTTGTTATTTCGTTACTAATTCAATGCTATTATAAACACTATCTCGCTCTTTTTAAAATTCAACCATATATATTTCCTAACGTTTTTCATATTTGTGAAACCCTTTAAACGAGGGTTATTATGGAAGAAGGTCCCCTTTCGGGGGCTGAGCCATCAGTGAGATACCATTCTGGAAGAGCTAGAATTTGAACCTTGTGTCAGGTTATTATGGAACTGAGTAAGTTAGTACTATTATTTAGGAGGAATAAACTAAAGTCAAAATTAGGAAAAACTAAATGCATTCAATACATGATTAAAATTTAAATGACAATTTTTTTTATTTTTTTTTTGAAAGTGAAATTTAAATGACAGCTGATAGTAGTAAATAAAAACATTCAGATTTCCAAAGCTAACACTTAATACGCTACACATGCAGTAAATGTTAGATAATGTAGTATTTTATTATTATTATTATTATTAGTTTAATTTTTTTTTTTGGGAGTAAATGTTAGAAAATGTGACGTGTACATATTTTGTTTATTCACACACATAATTAAACCTATATATTTGTGTGGGCTGGGTGAGAATGGGACTTGTATGAAATATTTGACGGTGTTTTTATAATATTCATTTTGTTCCGTCCTCATCTGTTATATCGAATTGGTAAAAAAAATGTCTATTTCTTAACTCTAAGTAAAAAAAAATCTCTATATTGCACACAATTGCCTAAATATTGTTTTTTAGGATAGTAAAATAAAATCGTAAGAGGACTTTGCTAATATTTATGGTATGAAAATTTGTTTGACAATTCCAATAAATAAAGGGGTGAAAATGCAATAAACCTTTTTATACGAGTATTAAAATAATTTAGCTATTACATCTTAAAAGTAATGTGGTAAACTAGTTATTAAAAATAACTATTAAACCACCCAATAATTTATTTTTTGGATTAATAAGAAAATAGTTTTAATAATATAATTTTCGATTTGTGCATTTCTCAACAGACGATAAATGATGTGATATGTGGAGCATTGTTTCTTGGGATCAGACTGTACATAAAGTCAACGAAACATGACCAGTCAAATGCAAAGTCAACCGCATTGGTTCTTCTCAACACAAGAAATATCAACGGCTACAAATCAATCTCGGAAATGGTCGAACCGGATGCCGAGTCACCATGGGGAAACCAATTTGCGTTTATTCACGTTTCGGTCCCTAAATTAGCTTTTTCAAACCCAATTGATCCTCTCAGTTTTGTTCTCAAGGCTCACAAAGTGATTAAGAGGAAACGAAATTCTGCAGCATTGATTTTAACTGGTAAATTGCTCGACACGTTGAGGAAATTAAGAGGCCCTGAGGTAATTTCTAAATAAATAATTTAATTAATATAAATTATATATTATACATTTTTTTTAATAATAAATTAATTGTGTGTATGTATATATATATATATATATATATATCAGGTGACAGCTAAATACATACATAGAACATTGAAGAACACAAGCATGACAATTTCAAATATAATAGGACCTGTGGAAAAAATGGCTTTATCAAATCAACCAATCAAAGGCATGTATTTCATGGTTGTTGGTGTTCCTCAGGTATTAAAATTTAATTTTTTATTTTATTTTAATTTAGAAAATAATATTGATTTCGGAAATATTATATTATGTTGCTTTTTAAAGTTCACGTTTACTGCTTTCCAATAACAACTAAGTACTCCTGTTCATAATAACTGTTTTTTTTTTTTTTTAAATTGTTTTATATTATTTGTCACTTTAGAGGTTTAACGGTGATTATAAAGATGAGCACTTAAATGATTTTTGTCTAATGAGACTAAAATATTTTAAATTTAATTTTATAATTTATCATAATTTTCACCATATGTAATTATTTATTTTTATTCATCAATTTTGCAGAGCTTAACAGTAACAATGGTGAGTTACATGGGAGAGTTGAGAGTTGCTTTGGGAACAGAAAATGATTTAATTGATGCACCCAAATTCAGACAGTGTGTTCAAAATGCATTCGATATGATTTTCAAAGCAGCTCTTGTTTAATTAAGTACCATGTAATTTGTTTAATTCATGGATTAATATTTGAGTGTAGCTCTTGTTTTTTTATTACATAATTGGATGAAATGCTCCGTTGCATTAACACAAGTTATATAATATGTATGTCATTTGATATGAAAATTTAAATATCTTTTAAAAATATTTTATTACCAAAAAAAAAAAAAACCTTAGAACAAACGAGAATTAAGAGATAAGAAGGAAGGCTGGTGAATTAGAAATTTGAAGAGTATTTATAATATTTTATATAAATTTGATGGTGAACTGAGATAATTTAGAAGTGGAAATAACACCAGTACCCAAAATAGTTTATATCCACCCTTCAATCTATAAACTAAAAACAATTAACAAATTGCCCACAAAAACAAATAGGTAAATTAGAGCAATTTATATAAATTTCTGTCTGAAATAACAAAGTAATTTGAATATGAATCCAATAGGAAAGATGATCACTTCGTTTGTCGTTTAATTAAAGTTCCGCCAATAAAATATAAATAAAAAACGATTCATGATTAATTTGAAAATCTTGAGCATCAAAACATGACTTTTTTGCCCTTGCCCTTGCCCTTGCCCTTTGTCCCTCTAAAAGTGGCAGCCGCTCCAGAAGAAGATGGAGATGAAGATGAATACTTCTTACCAATACAATTTGCTGCTACTGCAGCTACGCGACAAAACTGTATACAAACATAACTAATAAGAAAAATAAAAATAAAAATTAAAAGAAAAGTTTACTATAATCACGTTTTTGTACATATAATGTCAAAAAAGAGAGAGGAAAAAAAAATAGCACTTATTTCACCCAATCCAAATCCAACTAATTTTAATTTTTATTCCACTTAAAGTTAATTTATCTAGAAAATAATTGTTTTATGTTCAATTTTTTTCGTCCATATTCAAATAAATATTTTTTGCGATATCTTCGGTCCATAAAAAAAATGTATATAGGGTTGAAAGCATTCATAAATATATGTCTAAAAGAAAACGAAAATAGAACTGTTTAATGTACACATCCAACAAATTTATGTTATAATTTATTAGATCTTCACTTTCTCATAAACATTATAGAACAAAGAAACTTTTAATGGGAGAAGAAAGCTAATTAAACCCTAACGTTTAAAAGAATTCTTTGTTATGTTATAATTTATTAGATCTTCACTCTCTCATAAATATATTCTAGAACAAAGAAATTTTTAATGGGAGAAGAAAGCTAAATCTAACCTTTAAAAGAATTCTAGGTTCGTCGCTAACCTTTTTGTTTTAAAATTATATATATATATATATATATATATATATATATATATATATATATATATATATATATATATATATATATTCTTTTAGTGTATGTATTACCTGTTCTGTCAAACGCTCATTCTCCATTCTTAGCTGACGTTCATTGGAGGACATATCTCTCGGGGCAAACATGCGACCACAACCAATAGAACATGCATTGATGAGAGATTCTCTAAGTCTCGAGTTCTCTTCTTGAAGCTTCTCATTTTCAACTCGGAGAAAAGTATTTTCTCGGTGCTCGTGTTTCACCTGCAAATCAAAGAATAAAATAAAAATTTATAATTTTTTTTATAAATCTTTTAATACAAAATCATGTCCTGATTACCTTCATTTGAAACCTCTTGTTTTGGAACCAAAATTTAATTTGTAATGGTTCCATCCCTAATTCCTCACCGAGCTCATTTCTTTGCTTTTTGGTAGGGTGAGGATTGCCCCAAAAATACCTATAAATAAAAATTTAATTTAATATTAGTGCAAAAATAAAGGAAATTTATACATATACGAAAAATAGAGAACAAAGTATATCAATGTTTTGATATCAATAATTTATATTTATATGAATAAATTCCACTTTCTAAGAAATTATTTACTCCTCAAGCCGTTGAATTTGATGGAGAGTGTGGCGCTGATGACGCTTTCTATTCTGTCGTCGAGTTTCGCTATTTTCGCAAATAGAACTAACGTTCTCTTCATTTTGTGTGCCGTCGGAACTCATGCCGGAATTTTTCCTAAGAGGAGCAAAAGAAGAATACTTTTTTTTTATGGAAAAATGTAAGTATGGAGGAATGTTAACAATAAAGGGAGAATTTATTGAGAACTTTGTGAGTCGAGATGGTGCAATTAAATTATAAAATTATCTTGCCAAGTCGGAAAGAATGAATGCGCAACGGTCGAGAGGGAATAAGGATTATGTACATGATTTTATAGGACAAAATATATATAAGAGAATAGTGATTATATAAATTTATTAACATTTGAATTTAACCTACACAACTAAGCATTTTGTAGAGCTCACTTGAAATTTAGAATTACCATATGATGGTCATGCTAATGATGCACTTGCCAAACAAAAAGAAGATAACGACAGAAGTCACGATATACATACCTCTGTAAAGCAAAATGAATTTGTGACACGTAATTGGTTAGTGTAATAAATTGTCATACAATAATAGTGGTCCATCGCATTGTATATTTTCAAAATTTATGAATATTAGATACGTAAATTTAAAATAATATAGTTTAATACTATAGTATAAACTTGTTTAAGGAAACAAACTTTTGTATGAGCTTTGTACAACTATTTTCTTTTTTTACATAATTTAGAACGTTACATAATTTTGAATTATTTTTTCTTGTGTTTTTTTAAACCATGTAAATTTTAAAATAATTTCAATTTAAAACTTTATATTAAGTTTTATGAAGTCTAAACTGATCAAATATTGTTATTAGAAGTCCATGGGTCATATTGTATACAAATATCTATATTGTGTTCATCGGATTATTTATTGTCTAGAAAATGGTCACTTCTACCTACAATGCCACTCATATATCAAGATTTTTTACTCAGTATGAGTAAATCATTTATTTTGGTAACATTTTGGGCTCCCAATGGTACAAATTCTTATATATTATCTTCAAATATGTATTTAATCATCATTTATTAGATAATTAAAAATCAATAAAGTAAAATATTCGAAAAATTATAGGTATTAAAATGTGCAACTAAATGTTTGACTTGGGAACAACCTATGTGCTCGGTGTAGGCGAGCGTATCAACATTGTATACAGAAACGTATATGGTACCTGTTGGTGATTTTTCACGTACGCAAGTGCATGTATCGTTAATAAGTAATAAAATCGATTTCGAGAGTCGGGATATCGTACCCACGAGGAGCAAATTATTTTATACTTCTAAATACCTAAATTATCACTACTTATCTTTATCCAAGCAGCAAAATTGGTTTTTTTTTTCTTTTGGTTTTTTAATTCTACAATTATGTAAAACAAATAAATAGCAGAAAGCAGTTAACGGATGATTTGATCAAATAGGGAAAAACCTAGGATCACGTTTTTACCCTATGTGTACATGTCGCAAATAGAATCATTAATCATGCAAACTAATGAATCCATATACTAACCTAATTAATGAATCCATCTACTAACCTGGAATACTCAACTAATTATAAACAACATTCACAATGAGTCATAATCCTAATATGCATAACCAATCTACGATATGTCTATGAAGATTAACACATGCATCATTTAGAACAAATTCCGATCACGGTTACTCAAGGAATACATAGACACGGCCACGGGTCGAGTCGTGGTCTGGGTCCGACTTTTAGGGGATCCGAAACCGACCCGTGGGGAGGTGGGTCCGGGTTCAGAGCGGGTCCATCCGGGTCCAAACTGGTTTTCCATCTTTTTTTTGCCCAAATAATTACAAGAAAGAAAAAAAAAAATTAAATTGAAACTTGAAAAAACTTGAGATTAACTTTAAATTCAAATTTAAAAAAAAATGAATTTAAACACTAAACAATTTTAGAAAAAATGAAACGATTAAAACCTTGAGACATAACCTAAATAAAATGAAAGTTGTGAAAATTGGATTAGGGGTATTTTATAAGTGAAATAATAATTAAGAATTTTTTCAACATTTCAAAATTGAATCTTTCTTTTAAATTAAATCATTTTTTTTTTTCATATATATATATGCATTTGTAATTAGTGAAGATTTTTAATATTTATCTAGTGAACATGACAATTAATAATTTATTAAACATTAATTATACAATTATTATAATCATTTTACAGTGTTATTCATATTTATATATTTATAATTAGGAGTGTTATAATAATAAGTTACTTTGCCTGAGTGGTTAGTACTCTAATAAACCACTCAGGCCCTCTCGTGTTTGAACCTCAAATTTAGCTTTTTTTGTGTTATTTCAGTTAAAATCCGGGTGGACCCGACGGGAACTCGGGTCGGGTAGATGGTCTACTGAGCGGGGCCGGGCGGTTTTCGGGTAGGGTCCGGGTCAAACCCCGCCCGTGGCCATGTCTAGGAATACATTTATATTTCTATCCTATATCCATGCTAAGGACACCACATAAATAAAATTAACTCGAGAGCTCTTCTACCCGTAGCTCTAAATAACTAAAGAAATTCGTCAATCACTTAATATAACAAATCATAAATTGATAATATTCATAAATAAATTAAGCCTAATGTGAAAGAACTAAATAATTTACAAGAATTGCATAATAGGTAAATCAATCCAACAAATCTCATATAGAGTTCTAAAGAAATTCTAGATTATGAGTTTAGCTACTTATGTTGTTTAAATGAAATAATAAAAAAAATAGTAAAATTACATGGTTTCAGAATAGAAGAATAAAAGAGGAACTATGACGAAGAATGGTCAAATCTTCGTCGTCGCTTCTCCGTATTCTTGCTCTTCTTGCTCCAAGTTTATATCTAATTTTTGTGCGAAGAGTCCTCTGGAACTTGCCTTGAAAACCCTTCTTTTATACCTAAACTTCTCGCCCGATTTTACAATTTTTTAGCAAATTTCAGCACAAAATACTTCTCGGACGGCATTCCATAAATTTCAGTGAAAAGTGAGAAAATGGTCTCATAAGGCATATATTCAGTTTTCTGTTCTTCTCATCTCAGATTTGTGGTATAAAATTCCTTCACAATTCTGGTACAGAGGACTCATAAGGCAACATGGATTTTCATCCGTTTTTCTCAAATTTTTGTATATGTCCATAAATTGAGTTTTTTGGAGTCTAAACTGATAAAGATTAGGGATGGCAAT